CTGCTGTCATTCAACGCGGTCTTCAACTCCAACAACGCTTCCCCTGCAACATATATAGGAACTTTAGCCCTAACATTTCTGAAGAAACAGGCGAATCTTTCCTGCATTTCTCTGAAATCGGAGATCAAACAGCTATATGATTCGACGTATGGAGAAAAACAACATCCCAAATGTTGAGAGCAACCGTACTGGTTCCGCCGTTTTTCTCACCAACCAAACAGCAACAGGAAAAGTAAAAGAACTTACCATCGAGAGTGAGAGCAAACGAGCAAGAAACGAAAAGGGCAATCGCAGAAATCCCGGAGAAAACCCGATTCGAAGTAACCATTTTCAAATTCCTCCGATTTCAGACGATAGTTTCTGGTTTCGCCAGAAGGTAAGTAAAAAAAGAAAAAAACTTTTTGAATTCGACCTGTGCCCTAATTCGGGGAGATGGAGAAGAAGAGAAAGAGAGCAATCGCCGTAGTGATTGGGTCTTGAGATTTCATGATGAAATCCTACTTTTATTATTGTTTCTCTAAAAAAACTCCTCTTTTTTTTTGTTGGGTTGTTTAGCTTTTTGTGTTTCCCTCGTCTTTTCGAGCTAAGTGAAAAGGAGAGATTTTGAAATTCTCCGACATGGAAAGCTGTGTCCTCAGAGAGAGAGAGAGAGAGAGTAGCCGTTGTACAGAGAAATAATTCAAGATCTCCAAGAATCATACTCGCGAATACAGTCCCATTTCGTACTCGCCAGTAGAGTACAGAGCTTTAGGTATACGTGTTCTTCCAGTGAAGCGAGTACACGGTTCCTGTACTCGAGAGAGAGTATTTTCGGTCTGAAAATTTGCGTTGGATCCGAAAGAGGTCGTACATGTCTCCACTCCACTGACGGTCCAACAAATTATATGTAAAACTTAATGTTTAACTTTGTAACTTAGCTAAAAATTTTGGATTTAGATTTAGATATCTAAAGTTTATGATTGAAATTTCATGTCCCGATTCAAATAATCAATTTAATATTATAATTTCAACTATTTTTTTTATTGAACAAAGATATACGTATGTATGTGTGCAATAATCACTAATTGAATATGTTTTACACATGCAAGAATGCAATCATTTGATTACATCGAACATGTTAAACTCGCTTGGAACAAGTTCGGCCCCTTAATTTAATTAAATTCAACCGATCATAAAAAAATAATGAATATTAAATATTTAAGTAGTCGAACATACTAAAATTTATATACAATTCCAGTTTTAGATTAATGGAACCTTTTACAAAGTACTAAACTATACAGAGAATTAAAAAAAAAACATAATTAGTGATTTCATTCGGAATTTGTAATTCTGATTACGCGGATTAATGGAAATGGGCTGTTCTTGGATTATGAAAGTTTAAGCGGCTATTTTTTTTAATTATGAAACATTATTTATTTGGGGATAATTTATATTTTTATTTTTTTATCTCGTGAAGGCATTATAAAAAATTTAGCATAAATTCAAAATCCCGGTCATAATTAATTATGTATTAGTTGGATTCAGGTGGAGAAAGTTGCTAATTTAAATGACAAGCTCAAGCTATATTGTTAATATATTTATTGTTTAGATTAGGCCTCGAATAATTTTTATAATTTTCACTAATTATTTAGGTTTTAATATGATTTTCTTAATTTTTCATAATATAAATGATAATTGATCTTTGTATATATGAATGTTTGGAAAATTACATGTATATAATAAATATATCTGGAGACTGAACAATTTCATAATATCAGACGTATAATATTTATTTAAGAAAATATTAAAATTATAAAACTAGATAGGACAAAATTGATTCATAACCCGACAATGAATGCGTTTACCCACCTGTTTGGTTTGAAAATCGTTGTTTGATATAAGGCCTCAACTACACTATTACTGTTTGGGCTTGGGCTTTTCTCTTGATCCGTAAATATTGGGCCGATCATAAGCTTCATTGATTGAAATAAGCCCAATCACATTATCCAACCATTCGTTTTTTCCCTCAAAATAACTTTGATTTCTTGAGCCATACTCATAGGTGAAATATGTTTTTTTTTTTTTAAAGTTGACTACTTTACTAGGTAACTCCACGCTATCATATACGAGTTTGCGACATACACGTGAAAGGTAAATCAATCGTAACTGATATACGACAGATGAATGAATAAAGAGTCAAACTCTCAACCTCTCGGTATATTGATCATGCTATTTGCCAATTGACCCGGGGGTTTTCATATATATACATATAATATTTACACACACCACTTCCATATAAAAAAGATTTATTTTGCTTAAAACTATATTGGTTTTCCAAACTACATTTTTAAAGTTAGTTTCGCGACGTTTGCATGTTTGACTACATGAAATATCAAATGCTAAGGGCATAAAGTAATAAGAGAACAAACAAAAAAAACATCATCCCATAAAATTGTGGCGAAGAACATCTTCGTAGATTTAGGTATGGTTAAGAGTTCTCTTATTTAAATCGATAGATATTATTGTTGTCCAAACGATAATAAAAACAATGTGTCTGAAATCAAATACTTCTAACCAATATCTTTTTAACAGATAAATAAATAAAACATAAAACATAAAAATGGCAATTACATTTTGTACTGTATTCAAACTTACCCGTATTCATCTTTAATAATCAATATTCCACCCCTTGGCATGTATCCTATACGTGTCACTTCCGAAAAGATTCCTTTACTAGTGTGAAATCAAATCGTTCGGGCCATTATATTTTGGATAGAAAAAAAAATACTAAAGATCTTTAAAAATTCGCAGATATTTTACTATGTAGTCTATTTTTCTTTTTTAAAAATGATTCTGATATAATTATATTTTATTATATTTGGTTCGATTTGAAGAAATCAAAATTCGATATGATAACCTTGGTTCAAGTTTTTCTAAATAAACCAAAGATTACACGTAATCTTCGAAAGAAAATATCGGAATAAAGACTCCCAATATTCAAGATTTTTATCATTTTTTTTAAATGGAATATATATATATATATAAAAGATGAGCATGGAAGACTTTGGTAATTGTTAGTGTGTATGACTTTAAGTAATGATTGGACCGAACGTTGGCCTTCGGTGTTTTCGTTTTCCATATTCGTTATTATCCTTTTGTCACTTAAGGCCATTTTGTTCCCTTACACTTTGCCTCTGATCCAAAAGTTTCTACTAATGGATGTGTGGCAGTGTCTCTACACACACGCACATATATATACACACATATATCGAATGTCGACTTTTTGGATAATAAATCTACTAGCATACGTAAAATTAACGCTAAATGAAAAAAAACCGTAAATACGATAACATTTTTATGTATATACATATACTTTACATTTTCCATATTTTACGCATGTATAAGATAGAATTTTAGTTTCAAAATGATTTCGTAAATAAAAAAAGGAAACTGAAATACCGACCCTTGGGGTAAAAAACAAACTTGAACAAGGGGTTTGAGTATATACACAAAACGAGACATTATTTCATTTCTATCATTTTATGCACAAAAGGAAAGATGAATGCGAATAAGAATTTGCTTTATGAATCGACTTTGATGGGTAATAATAATAATAATAATAATAATGAAATTGGAATTGATTCTCCGCATGGACCGAGAGAAAAAGGCGGGAACAGGGGCAGATTTTAATGGAACAGACAGTGCTGTGCAGTCCACCATCGCACGATGATCTCGACACGTGGTACGAATTATTGAAAACGATAAGCCGTTCTAAACGTGATAACGTTCCTACGGTCCATAACCCCTTTCCATTGTTTATGGCACGAATCTGAACATAAATATATCATGAGTACCATACCTACCAAAGCAAGTAGTCATGTAATTCCCAACTGATGGAAATGAGAATATGACTCCACCATCGCACGATGATCTCGACACGTGGTACGAATTATTGAAAACGATAAGCCGTTCTAAACGTGATAACGTTCCTACGGTCCATAACCCCTTTCCATTGTTTATGGCACGAATCTGAACATAAATATATCATGAGTACCATACCTACCAAAGCAAGTAGTCATGTAATTCCCAACTGATGGAAATGAGAATATGACTGTAATACCCCGGATCCCGAAGTAGATATTTAATTATTTTCAAGAATAAATAATTAAATAAATACGTATAATAATTTAGGAATATAAGTAAAAAATAAAATGAAATTAAAAAAAAAAACTGGTCAGCCGGACCAGAGTCGGATCGTCGGACCAAAACGAGGAGGAACGAACGAGAGAAAGAAAAAGAAAAAAAAAGAGAGAAAAACTGAGTTGGTCAGCCGGACCAAGTCTTGGTCAGCTCCGGACCAACTCAGTCAGCCGGACTTGGACAGGACGGACGAACCAAGGGAGATGAGCTGGAATCAAGACCTGGTCAGCCGGACCAGAATCTGGTCAGCTCCGGACCAGGAGACAAAAAAAAGGTGTCGGCAGACTTTTGGTGAGCGATTTTCTCGCACATGGGCGGCCACAACACACCTAATCTGCACCAAACTGACAAAAGGAGACCCCAGCTATCTCCTACACTCTTCCAATCACCCCAAAACTCTTTCATCTACCCTAAAGACCCTCTCAAACAGATCAAATCAACCATTTTCGGACTGAAAATGGGCAGAGAAAGAAAATAGAGGAGAAAGGGAGAGAGGGAGAGAAAGAAGAGAGGAGGAGAAAGAGGGAGCTCGGGAAGACATTGAGGAACAATCCTTGAGTGTCCAGGAGGAGATTTCAAGGTGTAGGAACACAGAAACATCAACCAATCTCGACCAAACCAGATTCAAAATGAATCTGATCCAAGAACAGGTGAGTGGCTTGAGTTGCTTTTGTGTACTCTCGTTTTCATCGTGTGACCGTGATATCTCAATGATTGGTTGCTTGAGATTGATAGAGGACATTTCAATGTGAATTTAGAAACAAACGGTACTCAATTTGGTTGAGAAATGAAGGAGATATGAGCGAATGAAAACTGAGAAAAAACTGGAAATTACAGACCAAGTCTTTTGTGACGTACAGGGGTTACGAACCATTTTTCAACTTATAGGAGAAATACTAAAACAATCTACTGCCTGGGTATTAAAGAGGACATCCCAATGAACATTTAGAAACAAACGGTGCGCGATTTGGATAAGAAATGAGGGAGATATGAGCGATCGAAGTCGGACCAAAAACCTGAAAACGCGAAGGCGATGAACTGCCCAGTTCCGGTCCGCCGGACCAGGAACTGGTCAGCTCCGGACCAAACCCAGAAAATTGTTTTGGTCCGGATGACCAACGAAACAGGAAACGGACCAAGTGAGAAAAAGTTCTGGTCCGGGGCTGACCAAAAGTCAGTCCGCCGGACCAGATGTGCCCAGAAGCCAAAATCACCGACGGACCAAGGCGAAATGGGGCGAACCAAAAACGAGAACTGGTCCGGGGCTGACCAAACGTCAATCCGCCGGACCAGACCTGGAAAAAGAACAATTTCACGTTGAACCGAGGAAACGGGCCGAGAACGAATGACACGTCTTGGTCGGTACTTGATCAGCAGTG